GCAAACTAAATCTCCAATTAACACCGCTTACCTAAACAATTTACCTAACTAGATTTAATAAAAAACAACTTAAAGAAGGTTCTATCTCCTGTACTACAACTGTTACAATTACCCACTAACACCACAAGGAGCAGATTAAACTCTATGTAACAAACACAGGACGTCATAACCTAATCCTAGGACAACCATAGCTGTATCAGCACAAGGTTGCCTTTAATTACTAAGAGCAAGTTCTAAACTTTAACTCTTCCCAATGCCAAGACGTATGCTTACGCTCACATCTAAACAACACCCAAATAGCACTTAATACAGAAGGTCTCCAGACCTACTCCCCAATAACCTAAAGAAGAACTACCCAAGCAAGGCTAACAAGCCAGGCCTCTCACCAAAATAAGCTACGCAAAATAATTCAACAACTGCCTAAACCTAAAGAAAAGGAAGCCTTTAAGGAACCTCTACCTACCCAATTCAGACACAAACCAGGACTCAAACAGCAGATGGACATCTGCCACATAGGACCTGCCCCGTTTGTAACCCTAGCTCGACAACCAGATCACGAAATCTACGCAGTCACGATTTCCGATATAGACTGAGCTTTAGCTCCCCGAAAACACACTGACCTGAGGACGATAGTCCCTTAAGACTACTACAACCTGTTGCATGTCTTCTCCTAAGACAAGTCCAATAAGCTTCCAATACAACGTCCGTACAATCACCAGATAACCCTTAAGCCTAGCAAACAACCTAGTTATAGGCCACTGTATGGGATGTCGCTAAACAAATTAAAAGTGCTCCGAAAATACCTCAACAAGAACCTAGAGAAAGGGTTTATTCAAGCTAGCTCCTCACCAGTGGCGTCACCTGTACTATTTGTAAAGAAACCTAGGGGTGGGCTCTAATTCTGCGTTAACTACTAAGGACTAAACACTGTTACTATTAAGAACTAATACCTAATTCCCCTCTTACAGGAAACCCTAAGCTAACTAAGCAAAGCAAAGTATTTTACAAAGTTAGATATTATTGCTGCCTTTAACAAGCTAAGGATAGCAAAGGGCGACAAGTGGCTAACAGCGTTTCAGACCCAATACAGACTATTTGAGTACCTAGTGATGCCCTTTAGCTTAGCCAACGCGCCTAGTACTTTTTAACATTTTGTAAACAACTCGCTCCAACCCTACCTAGACGTGTTCTGCACTGCGTATATTGACAATATTCTGATCTACAGCGATAGCCTTTTAGAGCACAAACAGCATGTACGCCTGGTGCTAAAGGCTATAGAAGAAGCAGGTCTGCAACTCAACGTAGACAAATGCAAGTTCTACTAATTAAAGGTCACGTATTTAGGATATGTAATCTCTACAGATGGCATCCAAATAGACCCCGTTAAGGTTCAGACTGTGCTAGATTAGCAATACCCAAAGGACGTAAAGGACGTTTAAGCCTTTGTAGGATTTGCTAACTTCTACTAACAATTTATCAACAACTTCTTGCAGCTAGTAAGCCCTATAATTGCACTCACTAAGAAAGGGGTCTAATTTAACTTTAACCTAAATTGCTAACAGTCCTTTAACTAGCTAAAGAAAGCCTTTACTAAAGCCCTAATACTCCGCCACTTTAACCCCGAACTACCAATACTTGTAGAAGCCGATGCCTCAGACTACGTAGTAGCAGGAGTTCTCTCCCAGACTAAGCCGGACAGGACTATTAGGCCTATCGCATACTTCTCAAAAAGAATGAGTCCCGCAGAAGGCAATTATAAGATCTACAACAAGGAATTGCTCGCCATAGTACGCTGCTTTAAACAATGGCGACCCAAACTAGAAGGTGCAGCGCATCCAATACAGGTCCTATCTAACCACAAGAACTTGCAGTACTTCGCAACTACAAAACAACTCAGCCACTAACAAGCCTATTAGTCTAAATACCTGTCCCATTTTAATTTTAAGATTACTTATCGTCCCAGTTAAGACAGAGGGAAACCAGATGCCCTTACAAGGCGATCCCAAGACGTCCCTGCTCAGGAAGAAGCGCAAAAGGCCTGACACCAAACTCTGCTCTAACCCAAGCTATTTTCGGACCTTAACCTGAACGAAACAGATTGGACAATTAATTAGATTATTGCTGACAAGTATCTGAACGACAAATTTATCTAAGAAACCTTAGACCTGCTCCAAAACGGCGCCGGTTGGTTAAAGAAGGTAACACTAGCTGACTGCAAAAACTAAAATGGCAAGCTGTATTACCGTAACCAACTCATAATCCCTAATTCTAACAAACTAAGAATTAAACTACTCTAAATTGTACACAACTCGCCTGTTGGAGGACACCCAGGCAGAGGAAAGACTCTCAACCTACTACAGAGAGAGTACTACTGGCCCCGCATGTTCCATACTGTACGCCGATACGTATCATGTTGCCATACTTGCTGTAAAGCAAAGGCCTCTTAAGAAAGGTACAATAGCCTACTTAAACTGCTCCTAATCCCTAAATAAGCTTAGAAAGACATATTAATTAATTTTGTTGTAGACCTACCCCTATCTAAAGAGTACATAAATATTATAGTAGTTGTTAATTGCTTAACTAAGTATTAACACCTAATACCATGTTCCTCCATAACTGCCCCTGATATGGCCCAGTTATTCTACTGATACGTATGGGTTCACTATGGCCTGCCTGACACGATCATATCAGACAGAGGTACACAGTTTGTCTCAGCCTTCTGGGACAAACTCTGTAAACAGCTCTGAATCGTCCCCCATCTATCTACGGCTTTTCACCTAGAGACTGACGGCCAGACTAAGAACGTGAACGCTGTAATAGAACAAGTCCTACAAGCGTACACAAACTACTAGCAGGACGACTAGGTAAAATAGTTGGCTACGGCACAGTTTAAAGCTAATAACACAACATCTAAATCAACGCAAGTATCCCCGTTCTTAGCAAACCACAGATACCACCCCCGAATGGGATTTAAACCACCTTTAAATACCCCCTGACTAACTTATTAATCTGTACAAGTAACAGACGCGAACAGACTTATTAACAAGATCTAAAACATATCCAAATACGTTTATAAAAAGCTTACATAGGCTTAAGCTCTTTAACAAGAGTACGCGAACTAATCCTAAACCCCCGCCCCTGCGTATGCAGCTGGCGAGAAGGTCTGGCTAGACGCCAGAAATATCCGAACAAACCGACAATCAAAGAAACTTGATTAGAAGAACCTCGGCCCCTTTACAGTAGCCTATATGGTCTCATCGCACGCTTACTGATTGATCCTACCTGACAGCATGAAGATACACCCTGTGTTCCACGTATCGTTGCTGCGCCGAGCAGCCCCCGAATCCGACTATCTACCTGGACAGCTGAACCCGCCACCTGAACCCGTCATTATAAACAACAAACTAGAATACGTCGTAGAAGACGTTAAACAGATCTGGTTCAACAAGAAGAAACGTACCTACAAATACCTTACGAAATGGACTGGATACGACGAACTGTCGTGGGAACCCGCAGAAGCCCTGCGAGAGAACTCTGCGGTAACCCGATTCCACGCCCGATACCCATCCGAACCGAACCCGTACCCCGACGAAGACGACCCGATGCCGGAACCACCAATGTGAAGGATTCCCTTCCTAATAAGAGGGGGGGTACTGTCACGGTATCCTCCCCGGATCCCAGACATAACCGTATCGGACGCGTACCGGAGTATTATCAGTGCACGTCCGACACGAACACGACACGACACGGACATGAACTTAAGCACGAACCGCCTTAACACTAACTAAACCTAGAACAGGCTCAATTCATACCCAAAGCGCTTAGACTTCTAAGCTGAGTATTTAATTGCTAATTTCCTCCTGAACTTTCCTGTTCCTCACACAACGTCTTGTACCTACCATGATACCTCACGTAGTAATTGAACTAGACCTCCGCGAAGCTCTATAACCTTACTCGTGCATAATCGTGACAAGTAGCTTTTTTATAAAGTAAGCACTTTTTAAAAAGCTTTTTAGCTTACTTTAATAGCTTAAAGTTATATAAGTACTAAGCTTATTAAATTAAATTTAAAAGCTATTTTTAGCTAAAGTTTTAACATAATATAATATTATAATTATATATAAGTAAGGTTATAAAGCTTTATAAAGGTCTAGTTTAATTACTATGTAAAGTATTATAGTAAGTATAAGATGTTATATAAGAAATAAAAAAGTTTAAAAAAAAATTAGTAATTAAATACTTAGCTTAGAAGTCTAAGCACTTTAAGTATAAATTAAGCCTATTTTAAGTTTAGTTAGTGTTAAAGCAGTTTATGCTTAAGTTTATGTCTATGTTGTGTTGTGTTTGTGTTAGACATGCACTAATAATACTCTAGTACGCATCTAATACAGTTATGTCTGGGATCCGGGGAGGATACTGTGACATCTAGGGACGTCGCGATCGCCCTCATGTCTGCAGCTCAACCAGCAGTTGTCTGAGGACTCTGAGGATCTAGGAGCTGTCTCAGACTAGCTCTGTCAGGGATCCTGCAAAATTCTAGGGGATTTAGTCTACTAGTTGTCAAGTTCTAGTCAGGAGGGCGATACTGTTAATCTAAAATCAGGGTATGGATAGGTCAAAGTTCTGCGCGCGTTTAGATTTTGCTCTGCTAATAATAGTCAGAATCTAGTAAAAAATATACTATTTTATAGCTACAGCTTGTCTCTACATTCTATTAAATTCTAAGCCTATTCAGACATATAGTAGTAGAGATATTGTAAATCTAATTCTATTGTGATGCTCTTAAAATAGGCTTATTCATAGAAAAAATCACAAAAGTCCCTCAGACAGCTGAGGAGAGAAACGCTACTGACAGGGGTCAGAAACCGCTAACCCCTAGGCCATACTCTATTTGGAGTAGCAATATGCATGGTGGTTTGTGCGTCCTCGGTTCTCTCCTCACCACGTCTGAGCTAGCTGAGATAACCTGCCACCTGAGTCAAACGATTACGATGAGGAGTCTGCTTTTCATATCTCTTCTCGACCCCTAAACACCTCGTGTGAAGCCTACTATCATTCAAGGTGTCCATGCGATATTAATTATGAGCTTAGTTGAACCAGACGAGCCGGCAAAAAGGGTCGAAAGCGGTCGGCACCGCAAGGCTCTCAGCCTTGGACATGCTTTCCTACTCAAGATCCTCGGGAGCAGAATATTTGCTCCTTGGAAGGGTCAGCCAACTGGTGCACCACAAACTGTGAATGAGCCGGAGTGTGATCTTTTTCCCGCGCGGCGTTCTCGAATCTTGGAGTGTGCATCTCACTCTTTCTGGGGTGAAAATGTGGGGCTAACGAACGCTTCAGTAAAATGAAAACGCTGGAGGAGAAGAAGAAAGAGTAAGTGACCGTACATATTAGCAGGCTTCATTATATGTTTAACTAGTGCTAGAATGGAGCGTTTGCGCGATGACATCAAAGGTCTTCAAAGGTAGGCTTTGATAGATTCAAGTGGCCCGTCACGCAGCTCATTCTCGAAGGAACATAAGAGGCGAAACCCGAGACTTCTGCAAACTTCAATGCACCACATTGGTGGCAAGATTCCACGCTTCTCTTCCTCTCGAGTTACGGTACATGGTGTACGACTATTTAATTTCGGATTTTCGATCCGAAATTGGAGTAAAAGAGAACGACGCGCTGTATTACCGCCATGAAAAATTCAACAAAGTTGCTTGGGGTGACCCTTGGGGCTTCATCTTCCGTCCCAATTGGGTGGGTCAGGACGTTGCCAAAGAAGCCGCCTCGTACTTCTATTCAACTACACTTCTCCGGCTCTACTACACCACCCAGATAGAGCATTTTCTGATCAATCGGTATGATATATTTTTCTTAGGCCTCGATCCAAAGGCCGTGATTCGCAGGCTGGAGATCTATATCCACTACAACAGGAAGGCGAAAGACGGTTACCATAGCTCTGGCGCGATGAACCTCTATGTCGAAGATGAGATATCGGAGCTTCGAACGGAACAGCTGAAGAGTCTCGAAGCGCTGCTTGAAGTCACTCATGTCAAGGGATTCAGGTTGCTTCTCCTTGTGAAGGCCCTTCGATGGGATATCAATTCTCGTATCAACGCGCTCCACTTAATCGAGGCAGTGGCGCCAACCCTATTTCGATTAAAAGATGCCGGAGTAGAGATTTCAATGATGCAGGCCTACGGACAACCGTCGGATACTGAGGACTGCTTTGCAGGGTGGCTTAATGGGACGCAGTTGGACTTTGAGAGAAGGATGTCTGAGAGACGAGGTGAGATCCCCTACTACTGTGAAGACTGCCATGGTCTCAAGAGTCTCGTGGGTTGTGGCTGCGATATGAGATAGACCTAAAGTGGTGGGATGGGTCTCACAGGCCGCATTGGTCAAGACCTCTTCTATCTCTTTCCTTAGTTGCCCTACGCGGAGATTTACCGGGAGAGAAAATAGTGGCTAACTACCATTGCAACATAGATGAACTAAGCCCAAAGCCGTTGACAGTAGATGACGTCCTACAAGACTCTACCGCGATTCGGTAGTCCCTCCATTGTCGCTTCTTCGGCTCAAACCATACAAAGAACGTCTCGCAGTGGTCTAGTAAAGGACGCGGGGCTAGATTAAACATGGGTTTCTTGTCACTATTCTTTCTTCCTGCATAGGCTAGCTATCGCTACTATCGTACGCGAAATTCACTCTATGCCTTGCCTACCTCTTTGCTTACTCGCAAAGTATTCCGAGTCTTCATCATCAGCCTAACCCGTCCAAACTGGCGGTCCAGGGGGAATGTAGCCCTTCAACCAATATCCTTGAGTCCAAAGAGGTGCCCAAATTCCCTCGTCAAAGTCGTCATACGCCCCAGGAAATTTGACAGTTGGGCTAGGCGTTCCTATGGGATCTTCAGTTTTCGCGCAGGCTAACTTCTCACGGTACTTTCAACTCACCACCACCGTTTCCTTTGATATCTAGCTGCGCACATGAAACAAAGAAGTTGGTCTCCTTTATTTCGGTTCTTAAGAATAAATGCTCGATGCGCAGTAAGTATTTCCCTGGTGGAGTTGTTTTTGGAATCGTAACGTTCATCTAGGTGCCTATTAGCAATCTGCAGGCACCGAATGAAAAAGGGACAAATTAGGAAATCGAAGAACGCGTTACCGAATGAGGCTCTACGTCGGCCAGCCACCCTGCTTTGGTATTAGTATTCCAACCCAGTTCTCCGATCTTGAACCAATCCCCGTTCCCATCCCAGGTCCTCAAGTCAACGCCGTCCGGAGCCTTTGCCAGATAGAACATGCCTGGCCCGCCGTGTGTTATCTGGTTTGATGGGCTGCTCCACACACCAGCAGATAGTTCATCACCTGCATTTACAACCAAGATTTCAGAGCTCAAAGACCCTTTTTCGGCATTGACGCCGCATCGGATAGCTGTATCGTAAACGTCGAACATTGGGAAATACGCATAGTCACCCTGCTCCGCCGACATCCATGTAGGATTCGCAGGTTTGCTAGATGGCTATGAGACGGAGAAGTATGGCTCATGGGTGGGTTCGATTTACCGGATGTACTGCCAATTTTTTGATTCAATGCCATTTATGGTCTTGAGTCTACTAAAGGCATCTGTAAAACAATGACAATTTAAGTCACAGATGCGAAAATAAGAGAGAAGGTACTAACAGTGCGCCGATATCCCATGAAGTTGGAAAAGACCAGCCAGGGTAAACCCGATATTCTTCATTCTGATGTAATTATTGACACTAGAAAGAGCAGAGACACTCGGCTCCCTAGTAGTATTTGTAGCCCACCTGCTGTCATATATATGGCGTCACTCAATGGTGAATCATGTAACCCACTCGTGCTTGATGCTTTCTCGACGCAACCATTGATGCAGAGGACGCCACTGCGACAATATTATATAGTGTTTGGCATCTAGCGCATGGCATCGTCTCCTCTCGAACGCAATAATGTAGATGATGTGCACGTATTAACGCGGTGTCTCGCGTCAACCCCTATCTAATTTCCACCTATTGAAAATTTTCTGGATATTATACTGGTGTAGCAGATTCCTCTTACGGTTCCGCAAAGGCTGACTTCTGCTTGATATCCCGAACATAGACTGCATGTACGCAATGCCATCGCATCACAAGCGAGCTTAATGTCCGGCTATAATATCTCCGAGTCTGCCTCGCGCCAATGTTCAGACTGCACACCTGATGATCTCCGCTTTCTTAAGTCTAGATAGCGAGCGCTCCTCACGTTTTTAAGAACAGCCTGATTCCGGATACGAGGTGAGCTACTTAGGGGAAGAAGAAGGCCATTAAAAAATAATTTAGACGCTGCAACCTCAACATTAATCCTGCTAGCAGTGCGAAAGCTCAACGCTAGCGTTTGCAGTGTATAACAATCTGCGTATGTACTTTATACGGGCGGTAAATCAAATTAGTACCTGGTAGAAGCTAGCTTTAATAGAGAAAGGTCACGAGGCAGGCATCCTTTCCAGCCTACAGATTCCTCATAAGCTTTGAGATCCTCTATAAAGAGCCATAAACTTATTCTCGCGGAGGCCTCTTCACTCGGGTTAGACGATATGAAACCATCAAGCGGTTCTTCGCTTTTTTTTGGTCTATTTTTCTTCCCGAGGTTGGCGAGTGCAGTCACGTTAAACGTGACAAGCATTGACCAGCGGAACTGCCCCTTTGCAGTTAAAGCCTCCCCACTATCGGACGGCTCGGGCCTCATCATCACTTATGACACGAAGAATACTGCGCTCGCCTCCATTGGCCTGGGTGTGCCAGCGAAAGAAAACAGAAAATTGTGCTATATCAGCGTGTATTTCGATGTTGCCCCAAACCGGAGGGTGACTTTTGAGAGCCTCGAAACAAAAGCCGCGGTGAAGCTCGACAAAGGCATTGAGGCCTATATCAGTGCGGATTTTATTTGGCCTTACTTCACTGGATGGGTGAGCGAATGCTCTGTCTCCCCTACCGAGTCATGCGTTCGGCTACAACCACCCCCCCTCGAAAAACAGACAAGAGGAGAACATGCAACTAATGTGGCCACAGGCGCACTTGAACAAAACAACAATTTCTGGCCCAAGAGCCGACACCCTCAAAACCAGATTCACAGACTCCCCAAAATACCAATCATATTGTAGATTCAGCGGCCCATCAGTTGATAACAACACCGACCCTATCGGCAGCGGAGTCCACATCCGAACCCATTTCAATCTTACGCGGCTCCTTGATGCTAGTGCTTCTGCAACGGGCGAGCTCGGTAAAAATACGACAGTGACCCAGCAAGTAAACTTCAGCTACTCGGAGCCCTGTGAGATATATTCCCAGAATCATGAGTACCAGTTTTGCTGGATCGATCGGCAGGATAATTATCTGTGTAGGTGTAATTCAACGGATGTTAGAGGGCCGAAAGTTGAGGATAGGTTTGGCCCGTGCTCTACGTGGGTTAGGTTTCCGCCAGACCCGCCAACATGATTCTAGACATGGTGATGAGATGAAAGAAGAAGATAAGCATGGAGTACTTGAGTCCTAAGTTCAAAATAGTACATCCTAGGTCAATTCTATTCTTGGCTATCCACGTAATCTTTGCCAGCTTCGTACGGGGATGTAATATGGAGGAAGGCTAGAAGCAGTGAAACATCATTTCTAACAACACGTTCATTGAGGAAAAATAAAGGGATCACATCAAAGGTTCAAAGGCATGTGGCTGGGTATGAATATCTCCATATGGAAGGTACCGTTGCGTTCTTGGGAGCCTCAGAATACATTTTGCTCAAAGTGCACTGCGGATATGCAACAAGGGTACCCTAGTTGTCTTGGCATCCGGACCTGTACATTACCGACACGCGTTTCACCTTCCTTATCCAGCTATTAGCTACAATGGCTGCGAAACTTGCCATTACTTTAATACATACTAACTCCATTCAGGGCGTCTCCACGCCGGAGATCAGCGGCTCTGCCGGGTCCCATCAGCGTTACCCAAAAGCTACAACGATACACGGCGTCATTCATGAGGGCCGACCCCCCACCGCAACTCTCCGCCAATGGACTGTGGCGATAACTCATGGTTTCACAATACACCCGGTGACGTAACCGGGCGAGAACCTAGTCAACCTAATATCGACGCTCATGCACCGTCTTTGTGATGTACCAGACACACGGTTCGCTGATAACTGATCGTCCAATTAAACCCTGGACAAGATTCAGAAACCCCGAGGACTTGCCTGATTCAGATCGTCAACATCCTACATCCAGGAAACTTTATGTCTGACGCCATTCAATTGAGAGAGGAATCTTTAGGAGCTTAACGGGTCATTTCCAGCATAAAGATGAGGAGGTGCGCCAGGCATGAGGCATCACTTTGCATCTACTTTCACCAAGGCCAGGCTTCACAATGGTTCCTCTTAGACGCTTTGCTGCATTCTTAGCATGTGCATCCATAGCTGTGGCACGTAAGGCTACGCTTGAGGAACGACAGATCCCGAAAGATTCTACTGGTGTGATGACAATATCGTCTCCCTCGGGTGCCCAGATTCGCTTCAAGCAGCCTGGCAAGGCCGGCGTCTGCGAGACAATGGAGGGAGTCGATGACTATGCAGGTTACATCAGCTTAAACGAGGAGACTAATATGTTCTTCTGGTTCTTTGAAGCTCGAGAAAATCCTAGCAAGAAGCCAGTACATTTGTCTTAGAAATTTGCAGCGCAAAAACGCTAACCGGGTTCCAGTTAACCTTGTGGCTGAACGGAGGCCCAGGAAGTGATTCACTGATTGGATTATTCCAAGGTAACCTGAACTATCCTCTGTGTTTGTAACGAAAGACTAACAATGACAGAACATGGACCTTGCAACGTAACGGAAGATCTCAAGACCCAATGGAACCCGTATTCCTGGAACAATGCATCTAATATGCTCTATTTGTCTCAGCCTGTAGGCGTTGGATTTTCGTATGAAACTACCTACACCGACTCATCCGGGCGTTACTCGTTAGTCAATCCCGACCGGGCGAATACGACTGGTGCCGCTGCCATTGGCGCGTGGGAAATCTTGCAGGCATTCTTAGAGTTGTCCCCTCAACTGGATCCTGATATCCAAAACTACACATTCAACCTCTGGACTGAGAGGTGGGTGATAAGATCTTGGCATAGATAGCCGCGTGTCATGCTGACAGCAGCACTAGTTATGGGGGCCATTACGGGCCTGGCTTTTACAACTACTTTTATCAGCAGAACGAAGCAATTCTTAATGGATCTGTAGATGGCTTCCCTTTGTCCATGGGTGCGTTGGGCATAATCAATGGCATAATTGACGAAGGTACTTGATGTACTTTCCAACATCATCCTTGTTTCTGCTGACATATCTTAGGCATCCAGGCACCATACTATCCCGAATTTGCAGTTAACAACACATACGGGATCAAAGCCGTCAATGACACCATTTATACATTTATGAAGCAATCTTATTACATGCCCGACGCCTGCAGGGACCAGATTAAGTACTGCACAGACTCCGACCGCACGACTGAAGACGGCTACCTTACCTGCTCGCAAGCAACTAGCGTGTGCCGAAACCTCGTTGAGGGGCCGTATTACGCATTTGGGGGGAGAGGTGTTTACGACATTAGGCATCCCTACGACGACCCGACTCCGCCTGATTATTTCGTAGACTTTCTCAACCTTGCAAGCACACAGGAAGCCCTCGGTGTCAATATCAACTACACGTCGACCAACGCTCGCAATGTCTCTCGTGGGTTTAGGCAAACCGGCGACTTTGTTTTTCCTAACTTCAAAGAGGATTTAGAAGAGATTCTCGGGTACGGTGTTCGCGTAGCACTCGTATACGGAGATGCAGATTACATATGCAACTGGTTCGGTGGCGAGGCTGTCTCTCTCGCAGTCAACTACAGCCACGCCGAGGAATTCCGTGCAGCGGGGTACATGCCCTTCATACTTGATGGTGTGGAGTATGGAGAGGTCCGGGAATATGGAAACTTCTCGTTCACGCGTATCTACGAGGCCGGTCACGAAATCCCGTATTACCAGCCTGCGGCGAGCTTAGCGATCTTCGAGAGGATATTGGATAATCTTGTTATTGCAGATGGAACTCAGATTGTCACGGGAGATTATGCCACGAATGGATCTGCAAAGGCGACACATACGGAGCCTTTTGTGCCTTTGCCGCCAACGAGTATACCGAGCTCGACGGCAAGTGTATGAGGATATAAGGCCTGCTGTAATACCTTAGATGTATCCGTCAATAATAACGTTTAATGATACCCATTATCGCAACCTGAATGCACTAACCCTCGAAAACTACGCGTAAACATGGGCACCAACTTCCCCAGGGGCTCCTTGCTGGAAGGAGAAGACACGTGACCGGAAATTGGGCTGAGTGCGATCCTTGTGTGTGGGCTTTCCAACTGCCTTCTCTCTTCATCTCTCCGAACTTCAAATTCGAACCCCCATACTGGAAAAAATTCTATCCTCCAATAATTTCGATGCTGCTCAACTGTTTTGTACGAATTGCCATAGCTTTCATCGTGACACCTACTGCTCTACTGACACACCTTTGGACTTAGAGATCTTGAAAGTTGATCTTAAAAACTGTGAAGTTTTTAGAGTAGGAGGATCACAGGAATCCTGAGGGACTGAGTTGATTGCTAGAGGAGTGTACCTAGGGTCTATATATGCAAGAAAGGGGTAAGTCTTGGCAACATGTAACTATCGCGCGAAGCATGCGTGACTACTGCAAACACAAACTCTGTGTGGACCCCTGGCAAGGATCTCCCGCATGAAATCTGTGGTATATGCTTAATTTTCCTAGTCACCTTACCTTTTCCCCCCAGTCCCTTCTCTAGGTGCTTTAACTTGGCATGCTTCCATTCTTTGTCCTTTGCAAAAGCCCGCCGCAAGCTTTTGAACACTGTGAATGACGCTGCGAGAATGGAATTGTTTCGCTATAAGAGATACCTAATACTCTTTCCATCTCATTACTTCTCTGATCCTTTCGACTGCAACATACTCACCTAAATTTCTCAGAACACTTATTACACTCCTGAAAACAACTTGGAATTCTCAAAGCATCTCCTGATGCTTCCGGTCGCTGTTCCTGCGGTGTGTAACACCCTCATCGGGCCTACGGATTCCCTTCCTATGAAATACAACCTTCATTAGGTCATTCTCAGTCAAAGCTTACTATATCTCGAAAAGCGGACTGTTCGATATCGTTCGGAATTCCGAGTAAGTACAACCAATACGACGGCCAGAATTCAACAAGGCTCAGTGAATGGACTTCTTTTCAAAGCATCGAAGTGGTAATAAAGAAAAAAAAAACATCTGGGGAGAATTTCAAATCTAAATGAGGGGTCTGACGATAAGATTTTATTAACTAAATCTTGGCAGTACAAAGTTGGACACGCTCGGGTATGAGACGACATCATTTGAAGTGTCCCAGGGTACGTAGTACGTACCAAGTGCGTATCCCAAATGCAAACTAAGATGCGCAAATTTTCGTAATGAATTAAATTCCTGCTTGGAAAATTGCTTCTAAATTTAGTGGTAGAAATTACTAAAAGTCGATTGATCTGAAAAAGGAGCATGAATTCTCGGTTTTTCCGTAGCGATTCCCCGAATGTATAGAATACCGTCCTATCTATTTCTAGCCTTTTTTTTAAAAAAAAAAAAAAATTGTGGTAGCACGACCTTATCTTTAACGGCCTTGGTATGTAAGCGTTGATGAATGCGGTTCAATCTACCTAAGTCGTCTCTCAATACCTAATTGTCTGCTCGCCTTTCTCTATATATGCCCTCTATCAGCTCCATTAGATCCATCTAGTCTCACCTTGCGATAGATACAATATCAATTTTATAACGACGATGTACGGCCTTAATATGCTTTGCGATAGATATCTACACGCATCTAGTTCTCGTGCTGGATGCTTCCTCCGTTTCAGTATCTCTACCGTCACGAGAGCGAAGGGGTCCTCCGTCATTATTACAGCTCCATGGATTTCTGAATATACTGTCTCATCCTCCACTTGAAGATGTTGGCCCCATGTGTCAGAGGATGATTGAAGCTTGGTCCTAGCGAACTTTCCACATAGTTTCCAAAACGCCGGTTTATGAAAGCGATTTGACCAACATATACGAGGCACCTCCATGCACTGCTCTGGTGTCAGCAACAACTGCGGGTTCTAGACCAACGTACCGGATGCGGGCCAGCTCAATGGAGATATACTACTCGCTTACTCTACCTGCCACTGGTGATGAATTTGCAGTTCGAAGCATCCGGGGTTCACAAACATTCCAGCTGCTCCAAAAATGAATACTACAGCCATTATGTCTAGAAACACTGTCATCAGACTACCTATCTACTATTTCGTCAAGGTTGTCACTGTTGAAACATTTATCGGCATTGGAAGCAAGGCGAGATACGCAACCTAAAGCGTCTGGAACATCTTAACTACACTTCCGCCTCAGCAAATCCTCACCGTGGGCCAGATAGTGTCGGATGTCGACAATCTGAAGCAGCTCTGCTAGCCACAACGGACACAAGAGGTGCAGCTACGTCTTTGACTCAAATTTCCGAGTCCACGACTCCGCCACCGCAAGGGTAGAAGCATACAACTAAGGCCGTACCACTTGTTTCTTGGAATTTGGTATTGTCATCCACCAAGACAGATATCACCCAATTTCTGCAATTCCGCTTACAGGGATCGTTAAGCAGAACGACGTGTTCACCGATTATGAAGGGAGCATGAACTCTAAGATAGAATCTGTCGCAGCTCTCTCGATGGATTCGTGGTATGTAGATGCCGTCGGCTGGGTTGACGTTAAATACTGTGGCAACGAGCACGTCGTTTTCCACAGCAAGTTGTATGAAGCCTTAGAGAACAGAGAAAATGAAGTATGAAAGGATTAAAATACTAGGTAGAGAACATCAGCTGCCTGCAGCATTCAAGGAAGGAAAGTAGCATATAGGTCACGTGAACACTACCCATCCATCTTCCCGAGTGCCTAGTAATGCGAGTTCTATCTTGGCTATTTCTGGACTCCGAATAAGGGTGCCAATGATGAAGAGTATATTCGTATAGCCAAGTGGAGATTGCTTCTTGAACCTTGTCACGACTCTAGGTTTCAAGATTGGCTAGCGCGGGGCCTCGTTTCGCATGTTTCTCAGCTTCAGGCAGATGTCGATGTCACAACAGCAGCTCCCGAGCAACACTCCCATCGTTCGCTCTGATAGACATGGCTTTGTCAATTAAAAGTTCCACTCCATATATACTTGCCCTTCCTGTCGAGTTACTGCAACGCATCGCTTGCCATTGCTCTTGCTCAGAGATTCTCAATCTCATCCTCGTTAATCGTCAATTTCACTCAGCCTGTAACGACCGCCACGTGTTCAGATATATCGCAGAGAACACCCATCTCAGTAATGAAACATCCTTTGAAGCTTGGGACTCATCCCATCTCTTGAGCAATGGCTCTCTTTCCGACACGATACGAGTTGCCTCTGCTGTCGAGAAAGTAGTCAAGTATGTCGAGAATTCAGAGTCGGATGTCCTCGCGGAAGATGACCTAGAATCTGGTACATATCACAATCTCTGTAATTGGCTGCCCCACCTGGTTGCTCTGCGCCATCCTGTTTGCAATGGGGTCAGGACTCACTATCTCCTGCAACAATTTCTAATGCTCGGACAATTTGGACCTAAACCAGAGCTTTTACAAGGGGACATTTCTCTCGAACAATCTAACCCTAGCTCTGGACGATCTGACTTTGAATATGTGAGCATAGGATTCTGCCTTGCGACAGTAGCTCTGAGAGAACACGGAAGAACCGCAGAAGGATATTCCCCAGTTTGGCAATTCGCAAGCGCATTGTCCTGTGACACGCGATATGTCGCTTCGGAGCTTGCAAAAAGGATGTCAAGATTCATCGAGGACTACCCTGGTCTCAATTCAGCCCGTGCGGCGTCATTAGTTGTCGCCATGATGTGCGCGATTATGCAACTTCCGCTCGATAGCAAAATCGCTCCACTGCCATCTCCGAGCAGGATTCCGTTTCAGACCTTTATGGACATTCCATTGCCTCTCCGGAACACCGGCGAAGACTTCACCAAATGCCACATCAACAAGATGACATCGGCCAATTTCCTCACCGGAGACTGGATCGGCTATTACAATGACCTTCGCGGCTGGGGAAGAAGAGAGCGATTCTACTTGGACCCCCCCATGCGGCGTATACGCCTCATTGCTCGCCCAGTCTCCTTGTCAGAAAAATCGTCTCCAAACGATAAGACTATCATTGATGGTGTTTCTGGAGGTGTCGATGGATTCCACACGTTCAGCCTTAGTGGAATGGTGTCTGCTAATGGGGATGTTAAACTGCGAAAGACTTACATTCACCAAGGATGGAGCTGGATGTGGTGGGGTGTTGTTACGCCTTTTGGGATTGTTGGTGCTTGGGGTAGGGAACATGAGGGGAGGTTTGGTGGCCATTTTTGGATCTGGAAGAACGAGTGGTGTGAGTCTCTTACAGAGCAAGCTACCCAAGTACGTGGTATCTAGTTTATGCACTTGCGCTGTACGCAACGTCCACACTCCACTTTCACCTCCCAGCTGTCAATTTAATTTCCACCTCAGTCTAAAAGACACGCCATATCTGAACATGAGTCGACTTTTCGAATTTATATAAGGAGGTTATGAGACTTGGCAGGAGTAGTTCTGCAGATTCAAACAAACTGTGAAGAAGAAAAAGCCTCGCTAGTGGTCGTAAAAATAGATAACTCGGAAGTTGAGACTCCTCCAATTTGTGCAGCATCGCTACCCTAGTGGACTCTGTTTTTGCGGTGTGGCTTGGTGTTCTTCAAGATCTGAACTGCAAGGTCTGGCCGTGGGATCCTTGAATTCTGGGTTTCACGGGATGGTGTGCACACGCCGACTTCAAGAGAAATATCGCGCATTTTGCTAGACAGGTAGACAGAAGGAACGAGTTAAAGAGGATGTGTGAGCTCTTAGATATTTGAGTGCTTCATTTCCGACACATGGTAACGTTATAGGTGAACTTAAGATACACCATCGATATCCCAATGCCATTTATCCCCCCTGAACTTGTGGCAGATTTCTTCCGTCGGCCAGTATCTACTCGCTGTTCCTGATGACCCTCTTGAAACCCTGCTTCGCTACCTGGGCTTGAGCAGCGGCAATCGTAGCATCTGCATTAGGATCGACAAAGTTGCATCCATTCTTTCCGTTCTGAAACTGCGCTGCCTCCGCGGAGCAGACACCGACACCAGAGGCATCGGCGCAGCAGCCTGAGCCGCAATCGGCATTAGCAACGCAGCCGCCCGTGATAAACTGGGAGCCGTCGCCCGCGCCGACGTTTTTGGCACCGGCGTTGTTGGGTGTAATGGCAACCGCAATGGCAGCGACTGAGAGAGCATTGGTAAATACTCGATGCGGACGTAGATGAATACTTACAAGCAAAGAAAGCGGCAACTGTAATGCGGACCATCTTGAATGAATGTTTCGGTTTCCGGCAACAGGAGTGTAGCTTTGGAAAATAATTACAGTGAAGATAATACGAATGAACGACACCGGGTCGGTATGCAGTCACAGACGCAAATGAATGGAATAAGAAGTTATATCAAAAGGTTCAGATGTGCTTGGTCAACAGCAACTACATGCGGAAGCAAGGAATCTTTTATGCCTGAGGTCTTTGCCTTGACATCTGCTTTCGCCCGCATCCTTCATTTTCTGACAGTGTGATCGTCCCCACGTCACTCGTGAGATCGCGCTCCCCAAGATCGAGTCCACGGCACTGCGAGTTGCAGACTGGGGGGATCTTAAGTAATATCTTGTCTCATTATAAGCTTGATATTCAGGCACAATGACATGGCGCAATGCGTGTAATGCGGGTGACCGACGGTGTCCAATCCGGAGTGGACATGGTGGCTTGCATTATCCATGCGCAGATGTTGCGGCTTGCGTCTCGGAATTTTCGAACAGCCTCAGGCCAGATGTTCGAGGTTGTTAGGGAGCAGTGAGCAGTTCGAGACGTATCTTTAGGCCCTGTAAGGTCGCCTTGGGGCTATACATGATGCCGATCATCATCTTGAAGTTGGAGTGGTCGTTAACGTTAAGAGCCATATTTGAAGTTACATATCAACACAAGCATTTCAGGTAAGCACGCTGTGAACCTTCTCGCTACTCTCGCCACTGCTCTCCGTCTACTACTCACATAACGCTGCGCGTATTGGGAACTTCGCAGCAAGGACTGATCAATTGATGCTAGACCTGCGGGGGCGAGGTGGGAGTTGTAGATCGAGTTTCGACATTACGGATTCAAGGTGACGGATTCAAGGTGCTTGAGCTGACAGGCAACTGAGAGCAGGTAGGCTCATAAAGGGCACGTAGGAACAACTAATGCTTTGGATCAACCTTGGAAGAAGGTTAGGACTTTGAAGGACGCTGGAGGGGTGGGTAGCGGGTCACGTGTGCGGGGTAACATCCCCATGCCTTGGCAAGTACCTTAGTACTATTCAAGAAGGCGGGGCTTGAATAACGCTATGGTACGCTGACGACTGATACCTCATCTTCGATGTAACCTCGAAGATGCACCTTGGTGGGACAACATGTGCTGATGGTCGGGTACTTTGTTCCCGGAACTGTACATAAGAAATGGGTGCAGTTACTTCGTGCCTAGGGATCACGAGGGACAAGACTGAATTCTGCCCCTTCTTAGTGAGCATGGTACTCGGAACCTGGACTGCAATTGCTTTCACTCTGTCTTTTGCGCCATGTGTCTTCGCACAGGTGGACTACTCAGAGTTCGTCAATCCCTTCATTGGCTCTGAAGGAGCGATTCCTGGATATTCCTGTGAGTTTCAGCAAGTGCCAGGCTGTAACAGTGGCTAACAGCCTACGGATGGCGGCGGGGATGTCTTTGTCGGTGGTGCAGTGCCTTTTGGGATGGTAAAAGTCGGCCTTGATACCTATGAATTACCTGTAAACCAAAGCGCACTTAATGGAGGATGGACCCCGCAAGGAAGGGTGACCGGTATCAGTCTGCTTCATGAATCAGGGACAGGTGGTGGACCGAAATATGGCTACCCAGCACAAATGCCCTTGACCTCTATCTCACCTCCCGTGAACTTGCTAGACAATCTGACATACTGGCAAACCCGAGTATGCCTTGCGTAAACCAAACAAGGAAGCTATTAACTAAGTCACAGGATGGCAAAGATGCGGCAAGCGTAGGGTACTTCCGAACCCGCTTTGAATCCGGCGTAACTATCGAGCTCTCTGCAACTCGCCACGCGGGGTTGATGCATTATAGCTTCCCATCTTCTCAGAAGAATATTCTTGTAGACTTCTCACACTACCTTCCTTACCCGACGCGTGCATGGGATTCGCAATTCTATGCGGGCGGAGAGATAGATATTCAGCCAAACGGCAGTATTTATACGGGTTATACAAGTATTGCAAATGGGTGGAACTTAGGTTCTCCAGTGACTGTGTATGTCTGCGGAGAGTTCGATTCCCCGCCGGATAGAGCGAGAACCTTCAGTGGTAGGAACACGTTTCCAGTGGGTCGCCATTTCCGATCATTTAATAATGAGACGACGCCCGAGCCTACTTTTCATGGATTTTCAGCGCGTTCAGGCCCATTGAGTGACCGAGTTGGAGCTGTTTTCTCCTGGAACGGTACCAGCAGTTCCGACCATGTCAAATCGCGAGTGGGAGTGTCGTTCATTTCGGTATCGAAAGCCTGTGACTACAAAAACCAGGAGCTTTCGTCATGGGATATCAACCAAACGGCCCAAGCTGCTCGCGACGAATGGAATCGAGATGTGTTCTCAAAAATCCAGGTCAACACATCACCTTCGGCTAATCAGACTCGCCTTGCGCTCCTGTACTCCTCTCTTTATTTCATGCACCTCATCCCGAGCGAGCGCATAGGCGAGAACCCGCTCTGGGAATCTGACGAGCCGTATTGGGACGACTTCTACACTATGTGGGACCTCTTCCGCAACCAAGTCAGCTTATGGCACCTCATCCAACCCGCGTACTACGAGAGCATGATCCGATCTCTGATTGACATGTTCAAACACGAAGGATTCATGCCAGATGGGCGAAGTGGGAACTATAATGGGCTTTTCCAGGGAGGATCAAACGCGGATAACGTGCTTGCGGATGCGTACGTCAAAGGCCTTCGTGGGAAGATTAATTGGACTGATGGTTATGCTGCGGTCAAGAGAGATGCAGAAGTGCTCCCTTTCTGGGACTCCAACCCTGTCGACCCCCAAGGCTCTCTGAAAGAAGGGCGCTCGGCGTTGGACGACTGGATTCCATTGGGGTACATCTCAGCAGATCGAAATACCCGCTGTGTGTCTAAGACGGTAGAGTACTCGCTGAATGACTTTGCCGTGAGCCAGATCGCGAAAGGAGAGGAGCCTGGCGACCAGGAGCTGTACTTGCGGAGATCCGCCGGATGGCAATTGATATGGGACCCTGATGCTAGTAGCCGAAATTTCACTGGGTTCGTGATGCCAAGGTTTGCAAATGGGACGTTTGACAAGACCTACGATATCACGAATTGCGGAGAATGTAATTGGGGGGATCACAGTTATGAGGGTACTGTGTTTGGTAAGCCCATGGCAACTGAAAGTTAAATTGCAGGCTTACAACCTATAGAATACTCATTCGTGATCCCGCATGACGTCGAAACAATGATTCAGCTTATGGGAGGACCCCAGCATTTCGAGCAACGTCTCGACTATATCTTTCAACCTAACACGTCCGGCGTTGACCTCGGGGTAAACGGTCTCGGCATTACAACCATCAACAACGTTGCCAATGAACCCGACTTCGGGACTCCCTATCTGTACAATTACCTCAACAAGCAGTATAAGAGTGTTGGGAGATCGCGCCAGCTCGCTAACGACTTCTACTTCAATACGTCTAATGGAATCCCGGGAAATTCTGATGCCGGCGCGTTGAACTGTTGGCTCGTTTGGCAGATGTTAGGGTTGTACCCGGTTGTAACTACTCCAGTGTATCTTCTCGAAAGCCCTTGGTTTGATGATATAAATATCACTGTCAATAATAACCGAACATTACGGATACGAGCTGAGGGCCTAGATGATGGGGATAGTCGTCAAGGCTACTACGTTCAGAGCGTAAGCATTAATGGGGAGATGTGGAATAAGAATTGGTTTGAACACGATGATGGCGATATTATGAGCGAAGGAGGAGAGATTTTCTTCCGTCTTGGCACGGACCAAAAAGTGTGGGAAACTGGAGGGGTCCCCCCTAGTCCTGGGCATATTGTGTTGGAGAACGATAGGCGGTAACTCGGAAATCTAAGCACGTCAAGTCTTTGTCGTAACACCTACGGTTGGACTACTTGCTGAAGTCCAAATAGGTAATTGCTCATGGCTGCTATCCCCCAAAGGGAAACTCTGGACAACCGCTGAACGACCTAGCGCTCTGTTGAAGAGGGAGGCTGAAAATTCTGTCCTGTCCATCAAGAACTTCTGAAATGCTCTTCCATCATTGCGTGCGAACATTTTGCCCGCGCTTGTCATTTTTGTGTTTATACTAGATACGTTGACACATTGCTAGTTGATCTCATCATCTTACGAATATATAATCTTCAACACGAAGCTATGCACCTCCTGAGCCCAATTACACACCTACCAATCTTCTGAGCATTATGACCGAGACTACAGTGTCCTCACTCTCCAATGGATACATCCAAACCAAAGCCTACCTGAAGCGGAAGCCCGCTCTCACACGATCCGAATTCTATTCGCACTGGGAGAAACCGCGCGGGCCCTTGGTAATCCGTTCTTCAAGAAACATGGCAATATCCAATACCAAAAATAGATATCCTAACGTCTGTTTCTCTATCGCCACCCCAGTCTCGCTGCTCGCACTCCCTCTAGTATGATAAGAGCAAGGTCCAGGCAACTGGTAGTATCGCCCCGAATCACTCAGGGACTGGCCATGATGGAGAGCCCATCGAGTTCGACGGCATCGCGACGACCCTTGTCCCGGTATCTAAGGCATGGCGGCAGCATTGCAGGACTCGTACTACGCGACAGTTATCGAGGTGGATGAGCATATTCTTAGGCCGAGAGACGCCAAGAAAGGGTATTGTAGCAGTCTTCGCTGGGCAGTGCGTCGAGATCATCGAAAGGAGATGAAGAGTGAGGAAAGTAGTGTCTAAGGCGGATAGGAGTGGACGGGAGAAAATCGGGGGTTTATCGAGGGATGAGTCGCACCTGCCTGAACCTCCTATTTGATCCATTAGATTGAGGATCTGATATGGGAATCGTTACAACGAAGGAAGGTGGCCAAGTGAATCGCGTTGAGTGAATTTGGCCACAAGGTTCCGGGCCTAACCGCTGAGTCAGCGGAAAACTTCATCTAAGTCAGAGGATACAAATCTTGGGAAAATTAGATTTAGAGAGTTGTTCATTGGGCGGTGATAGGATATGTAAGGTTAATCTGTCGCTAACGGTGGTTGGTGCTTAGCTTTGAAATGTAATGGGATGTTTAACATTCCCTGCCTGCTTAAAGCTGTAAGCACTCCTCCTAGACTATAGTGACTCTGATATTCTTCTAATCTAATGAGATCTTTGAACAGACGGCAGAATTTACCGCACGCACCAACCTAGCCAAGGTGTCGCTTGTGCGCTAGCCGGGAGGGTTCCACACTGAGGCATAGCTATGACTGCTGAAGAAGCCTACGAGATGTCTGCTTAAATAGAAGCGCGAAAGTCGTGTTGGAGAATTGCGAAGGCCCGTATAAGGCTCCACCAAGATTTTTTTGCAGCTGGTGGGTCAGCATATTATTGCTCACCTCGAATGACTGATCGACTTTCGATGTCTGAAAACAATCGTGCCATCAGAAACTTACAACCTTGATGCCTTTTTATGAATGTATGTCTAATATCTTTTCTATATAGTTTTTGTTTACTTCGCTCGCTTCATGCATGTCATAAAATCTTTCGCTCGAGGAATTCCCCGAACCGATGTCACTTCTATCAAGGATCGCAAATATGATTTTCTTAAATAGCTCGTTAGGGATAATTACGTCCGACTCCTGAGGGTGGCGATTCTGGAATTCCTTTTAAGTCCTGGCGTCATTTCTTTCGACGCGACACGATGAACCCGATGGCACTCGTGAAAATGTTACTTTTCCTCGCCGCCTGCACCCAGTTCTCACTTAGCTTCCCCCAATGGCCCATGTCCCCACGAGCGGGTTCTGGTTACGGGAAATCTCACTTCTTGCCTGGGTTCTCGCAGCCCTGCTTAGGTCTTTAGAGCAGTGGAACCGGAGTACTTGCATCGGCTCCCTTCAACTTATGTAGGAAAAGCAATATCCGGTGGCATTGTTTTCCACGGCTCCAGAAGCATTGGGTGGTTCCTCGAAGTTGACGCGGGGCTGTCTGATGCTTAATACACCGGTGGGGTATGCGATTTATAAGACCTTAAACTGAGACTAAGAAGTGACGGGCTTGCTGGATTAGAAATTATGGTCTACCGTGATGGAATCAAGGGAAGCTGGGCCGGTCTAAGCTACCACATATGCTCAACTGTCCATGAAGTCCAAGTTCTGTGTGGACGACAACCATTTTTATGCCGCTGGGTAGCTCTCCACTTCCCCCCCGATCTTACGCCGATCAAATTGAATATGTTTGCAACCCTCTGTCATTCACTGTGGGCTTACAAAGCAAGGATTTCCAAACGGCAGTGGGTTTAGGACTGTTGCCTATAGTGCTGTTGGAGGCTGGTTCGCGGAATTCGCAACTGGATCAGGCTCCTTTACACCGACATCAATGGCCCAGACAACGGGTGCAAATCGGCACTCAACCCGTTCCCAATGCTTGAGATTCATGCGGAAACGACAAAACAGTATTCTACGCTGGAGGCCAAGGGGAGCACGGAGTGGAGCCTCCAATTTCAAACTTGTGAGATTCTTTTAGGGCATGATTGCCGACTCAGGAAACCACATTCAACGGCGATGTGCACCATTTCTCATGGACGTGCAGTGGCGTTGATGATTTGCTTCAAAATTACAAGGTCGACGATATAGGTGAGAACGTTCGTTGTCGAGTAATTGAAAGTAACATTTACGAGCTGATCTTTTAAGGCCATTGTGGGGCGTCTACCATACCGAATCTCTCGCAGTTCACTGTACCACAAGGCCCTACTTCTATCCAGGCTAGTTCGGTCATGATAAGATTCTTCGACAAGTTCACTAAAACTTAGGAGGGGTCTATTCCTGAAGAAGCAAGCTCTGCCGTCCCAGCAGAGCAATCTGCGGCATTGACATTCTCTCCCAAACCCGCTACCTTGGAGCATTTACTACTGGTCTATAATGGTTAATTCGAATTAGCGATTCAATCTATTCTCCCGCGACGCATGCACCGGCGAATTAATTATGTACAGTGTAAGTGCCGGAACTAATGTACCCCACATTGATTCAGCCTGAAGTTTGCTTCATCTCTCCCAGCTCACTATATGATTCTCAATGCCGTATTAGGGATTTGTCCCGCGAATGCCCTGGTGATTATACAAACTCTTCTTTCTCAAAATTGTCATGTTAAATTTGTTCATCACCTTGAAGATGCGTTGCGTCATCATTGCTTGGTTCAGCATCCTCAACACATGCTTTGGGAGCTACGTTGAAAGGCAAATAAGTCTGAATAGCAGTATCCCAGCAGTCAAAGTCACCGTGGACACACAAACACGATACCAGGTGATCGACGGCTTTGGAATTTCACAAGCTTTCCAGCGTTCCGCCCAGATCCATGGAAAATTCGGTCTTTCTACGCAAAACCAGCAACAGGTTCTTGATTATTTGTTTAGCAATGAAATCGGGGCCGGCTTCACAATCCTGCGCAATGGGATCGGGTCGTCCACATCGTACGTCGAGGATTTTATGAAGTCTATCGAACCAATAAACCCCGGAGGCCAGAATGCAACACCTAAGTATGAATGGGATGGCGATGACGGTAGTCAGGTTTGGTTGACTAAGGAGGCGATGAAGTACGGAGTTGGCATTGTGTATGCGAACGCGTGGTCCGCGCCAGGATACATGAAGACGAATGGGAATGATTCCAACGGGGGATATATATGTGGGGTTTCTAGCACGTCCTGTGAATCAGGCGATTGGAGGCAGGCATTCGCAAATTACTTGGTACGGTACCTACGGTTTTATCAGGAGCGCGAAGGCATCGAAATCACTCACCTCGGGTTCTTGAACGAACCAGATCTCAACCAAACGTACGCTTCCATGCAATCTTCCGGATTCCAGGCCGGAGATTTCCTGAAGGTCCTCTCCCCAACTCTTAAATCTTCTGGCTTCGGGAATGTCAAAATTGTTTGTTGTGAGGCCACCGGATGGAACGATGGTGAAGACATTCTAGCCGAACTCCAAAGCGTACCTGGTGCCGAAAATACGTTATCGGTCTACTCTGCGCACGGATATTCATCTAATCCTTCCTTGCCGTTCAAAACCTCGGTATCCCGGGTCTGGCAGACTGAGTGGGCGGACCTTGATGGGCGCTGGAATACGGCATGGGACAACCTCGGAAAGGCAGGCGAAGGTATCGCTTGGGCAAACAAGATCCAACAGGGACTCACTCTTTCGAACATATCAGGGTTCCTCTACTGGCAGGGCGCAGAAACGACATCAACCAATTCCGCACTCATTCGGCTGTCCAATGATACCCTGTCTGTAAGTGCACGGCTGTGGGCCTTTGCCCAATTCTCGAGGTTTGTGAAGCCGGGCGCGGTAAGGGTGAAAGCGGAGAGCAGTATAGGGTATGTAAGAGTGAGTGCATTTGAGAATGTTGATGGGAAACACGTAGTTAACGTCGTCAACAATGGGCATCTAGATGTGCACACGGAGTTTGAGGTTTGGGGTGTCAAAAGCACGCAGTTTAGCGTCACGCCTTGGCTAACTAACAACCGGAACAATCTTACTAAGGGTGAAGCAATCCCAGTTTTTCGAGGCGACTTCGACCGTGTTAGCTTTAACGCGATGGTGTCGGGGAGGAGTATGGTCAGTTTTTTGTTCTAGCTATTGCGCATTTAGCTTTTTCGAAGGAATACACTACCTACTGAGGCACGATGATCTAAAGCCTCAGTGTCTGTCCTAAACTTTCCTCCACACACGAGGATTTGCAAGTGACGTAATTATCGTAAGGGGCCTAGATAGAGCTGATGGAGGGCATATAGAGGGTTCGAGAAGTCAATTTAGTACTGAGAGACAATCTAGGTATATTAAGGTGAGGTATAGGGTCTCTAGAGCTTAAGAAAGCTTAGAGGCAAACAGATAGTGACTAAAAAGCGCTTGGTCTTAAAGAGTACAAAGGCGAGAAGTAAAAAACCTACATAAACTAAAATGTTATATAGAACACATCTTTCTAGCTTTAATAAAGTAAACACCAAAGTAAAGCTGTATAAACTAACTAGTTAATAAAAAAAAAGTATAAATAGTTAAAATAAAACTATAACTATAGAGCATACTTAGCTTATCTCTTTGTCTTCTTCGTCAGGTAAACCGCATATTCTGCCTTAGGAACTCCCGGAGCTGCCCAGACATTGCCCCCAACTGCTCTCCATACCTCCAACTGTTCCTTGAAGTTACCGTTCGGCTTGATCTTCCTATTCCCTCCTACAAAGGCCAGGGCGGTGGCGAGGCCGTACCGATAAGCTTGCATTAGATGGGCGATCACGGCCGTGGGAGACTGCGACACGCCTCAGTCGCAATGGACTAGGACGTAGCCGGAATCTAGGTGCTGCTTGATGAAATCGCAGATATCGGCGAGCTCAGGCAGCAAGTCCTGCGTCATGCTGTCTTCGCACTTTTTGAAGAGGCGATTCCCTTCGTGGATGATCTTCTACCAGGACTGGCTCCAATGGACCCATTTCGCCCCACTGAGAGAGACCACGGCGGTGATATTGTGCTCGCCGAGGATTTTAGGGTCACGAGAACTCGTTCTATCGCTAAGGTAAAGCTGACCGGCGATCTTGGTGATTGACGGGTTCGGCATGGTGATGGTTCGGTGGATTGTGGAGACGGAGCCAGCTGCTGCATGAGACCGCGAAGCGAGGATTGTAGCTTGTACGAAGCCTCCGTTGAGCGGATAGCGGAAAAAGGGCCGGGTCAAGGGCACGAACAATGGAGGGAAAAGGCGGAAGAAGCAGGAGATTTGGGCGCTCGGGGCGGGGCCATGTACAAAACTTACGCCTGATACCAGGTAAGGCTTTGAGGGACGCTTGCACCAATTAAATTATTTTACATGTGATAGTACATACGAGCCCACATGTATGAGTCCACATGAGTTGTACCTAAGAACTTAACATTGTGAACCTAACCATCGCACTGAACGGTACCTGTCCTTGTGTTTCACGACCCGTCCTAGGGAGTCGGACTCTATCATCGAGTGTATTCCAGAGCCAACGGCCAAAGTCACTCTCATTTCGATGAACCATCCATCTAGCCTATAATATTCCCAATGCAATAACCAGTGAAGTTGAACAATAGAAATTCCTCGCTCAGAGTAGCATTGCCCCCCGATAAGGCTACCGCGGGGGTGCTCGAGTAACTTGCTACTCGGGGGCTCCTGCGCGCCTTCTCCGCCGTAGAATAAAAGCCCACCAAAGTCCTGTCTGGTGACAAGAACCACCACCTGTCGGACCGATGTCTACAAACCATACCATTGCCCAAGCGCAGGCTCGTATACGTGCCGTCAGGTGCCCTATTCGTCTCGATGCTTGCCATGATGACCAAAACCACCATGAGACTGATGATAACGAGCGTGTAGATCTTGTACCAGGTATGGGATATGCAGGGCAAGACAGTCGTTGTTCGTCCACGGAAGAAATAAAAGGCGTGGGTCAAGAAGGATATAGTGGAAAGGACAAGGTAAAAGATCGAGGACAGAAACGAAGTTGTCGTAAACAAAAGACTGTGAAAGACAGGAACAGTGTATATGAGAGACAGAGTCCAGAGCCCCGCGCAAAGGATGAGATAGAAGGTGCGGAAGCAACGACTCGGCCATGAGCTGCTGGGTGCCCTGAATCGAGCATTGGGTTTCGGGGAGGCAGCATCTTGTGCGACGGGTGGATCGGGAGTGCTTTCTGGCGAAGCGTAGGTGAAGTCCTCAGTCAGCCACGCTGCAGCGCACAATCTCAACAGTCCCAGGACCGCAAGGGGGGAGAAAACCATGTCGACGCCCATTAACGGGTCGTAGTTTGAAGCGCCGGCTCCGGTCCGCTCGGCGACAAGTGCGTAAATTGCCGCTATCCCTTGCAAAGTCGTGATGAGGGTCTTTAGCGTCGTTGCCGATAGAATGCGTCCATGTGTTCTGTCCGGACGCTGCACGCACGAGGTAACAGCCTCAGAAACTACTCCATCACTGCCATCCCATCCGTTGCGTGTCCAGAGGATAGCGTTCGTGGTTGCCAGATCATCTCGGCTCCAGGACTTGGCGCGCAGTCGCCGGTCGAAGATGGCGGCATACCGCCAGATAATGGATGTTGGATTCCAGAGACAGATTTGGTCGTGCCAGCGGGGTTTGGGTTTGGTGAGATAGGAGGCTGCAGGCGCTCCAGAGACAACGTGGGCAATTAGTGGGGCGAGGCAGAGGGTATAGAGGGAGATCCACTCGGTGAAAGTAATGCAACCGCTGTTGAATTGCAAAGGTGTGATGTGATATTGTCGATGAGACATTGTGTAAGTTTCCAGTTGATTTGACAGCTATCGACATGCTGTCCCAGATATTTGAGGAGCTGGAAGGCCGCTGAGCGCGTGTTCAGGAAGGTTCCGGCTAGATGGCGCAGTAGACAAAGGCGCGGAAAACGAAACATCCAGAGACACCGCCACCGCGACCGTCGTCATGGCTTGAGTTTACCGCGAATAAGGCCGTGTGGCTCGTTCATCATGAGGCGAATGAAAATTATGTGAACTTGACCTTGTCTGACTCCAAGATGCAGCAACTGGTAAGCTTGCTTAAGGGAGAGTCATAAGGTTCACATGAGGGAGCCAAGGAACTCGAACTTTGCACTAGCACACCGCCTTCCAGAAAATGCAAACATGAATCAGTAATTGCCTCTAGGGTTGTTCCCAGACCTTTCAGACTTCTCTTCCTAGCATGCTTTTGGGCCACACGAAGTGGCGCCCTAGCACGAGTCCACCAGTCTAAGATGCTGTTCTTAGGGATGAAGATGCTGGTGGGGAGTGGCTTGAAATTTCGGCCACCTTAAGCCCCATACAAACTAATCTATCTGGTGCAAAAATTAGTGGAATTCCTTAGCAACACAACAATTTTCTCTGCACGCGTATAAACTTACATATAAACTGTAAATTTACTTATTTTATATAAAAATTAAATAATAACTATCTAATAATTTTTAGTAAAACTTAAGGCTATATAAATAACGTACTTTATAGGCGAGTTGCTTACACACCTAAGTTGCTTACTTTTACTAAGACCCTACTACACTACCTTTTCTACACTAATGCATTTCTAATAACACTACTTAAATATATTAAAGGAATATTAGATGCAGCTTACACTTTAAGCTTTTAAATAAAATGTAACACTTTTTAAGTAACACACTACAGCTATCTATAAAGTTTTTTAAAAAATAATAAGTAACTAACACACTAGATAACCTTTTTAAGCTAATTATATAGCTAACTTATAAAAGCTAAATAATAATAAAAAGTA